TGCATGTGTAATTTAATTCCGATAAAAAAATGGCAAGTTTTTGGGCAAGCCTGAAATTCGATCCGATCCGTTCGACTTGCAACCCTAGTTCTAGTCAAATTAATCTCAAGCAAGATTGAATCCTTTTTGAATTCTCACAGTTAACTGATATATAGATATATAATACATCCATGAGAGAGAACTTATAATTGACTATAAATAGTAATACATATAATTATTACGTGTGAGTGAGAAAACTGATATATATATATACATCAACGAGATTGCTTCTTGACTAAAAATAGTAAGATTGGATTCAGACAGGAATATCTAAATGCCATCATCATGCATGTATATATATCACATTCATTAGTACGTACCCAAATATTTATATATAGAGAGTCACTGTCTTGTCAAATGTTTGTCACAGTTGATTAATGTTGCTCAAGATAACAATTGGAAATTAAATAAAAAGAATATATAGGGTGTAATTGTAAGCTTCACTGTATGTGTGTGTGTATCAGTGTATGTATGCATATATATATATATATATATAGACATATAAGGTTGATGTATTCTCTAATAATTATTTATGAAAAAAGGGAAAGAAAAAAAAAGGCATTGTATTCCAAGCAAATTAATATTTAACAAGACAAGTGCATATTCTTAAATAAATACAGAGAGAGAGACCGCAAAATAAAATTTGCTTCTATGAGTTTATAACATGTAATTAATTGGCTCCACAACAAATCCCCCAGACAAAATGGGGGGAAGATCGAAGAAGAAGATGAAGAACATAGTCAACTTGTACACAGACAGCAAATTCCACGTCGATCGGTCGGTCGAGAAATGGTACGAGGATGTTATAATAACAATCTTTTTCGTTCCGAAAAAGATATATCATAAATAGACACAATAACAACAACAGGAACAAGAACAAGCTCCAAATAAAATTGGAGCGCGCAGTGATACAAAATATAGCCTAGACGGGAGTTTCGAGTTTCGATTTGGTTTCGGTTTCTTGTTATTCCAAAAAAAGAGCTAGATTAGGGTTTCGCAAAAGATCTTTCGAGGGATGATGTATGACTTATTCGGAGATGATGATGATGATGATTGGCCCATGGGAGTGATGGTATCTATAAACACGGAAAATCGACATAACTACAGCTGTTCTAATTAAGAAGGATCGAGAAATTTGGTGAAAGATTTTCACCAATAATTTAATCCTTCGATTTTATAGGCTTTTGATTATGGACCGCCTGGAGTTTTGCCACTGCCGCCGCCACTTGAAGAAATCGAGCCCTGTGCAGAGTGATGAACGCTCGACTGAGTAATGGGCCCGCTTTTTGAGAGCATAGAGCCGACTGAAGCGCTCGAACTTTTAATGGAAGAGATTTGTGATGAGAAGGTGTCTCTGCTGAATGTAGAGAGAATCTCGGGCCTTAAATTTGATGACGAGGATGATGGAGCCAGAGTTGCGTTTGTGGACCCCACTGGGTAAGGAGCAACTGGCATGTCGGTCAGGGAAGATGCTGAAGGACTGTAGCTCAGAGTTTTCATCGGGTGATCGAATTTGCACGAGGGTCCGAATTTGCACATTCCGTTTTGTGCATAGTGAGAACAAAGAGGCGCACCCTGGAAAAAGTAGTTCGTGAAAAATCTTTAGACACGAAAGGCGCAGCTATCAACAATGAATAGATTAAATTTCGTCGAAAAT